CCAGAGAGCGTTGACAGAGAGGAGAAGGTAGAAATGACTCAGCCTGTAACTGAAAATATGGATGGAGGACCTCAGTTTAGCTTGTGGTGCTAGCGCTGAGCCAATACATATAGCGCAAAGGCTAACAGGCTAAGCTGAAGTTCTTCCATGAAGCAGCTCTGTTGTCCTCCATCCATATTTTCAGTTACAGGCTGAGTCATTTCTACCTTCTCCTCTCTGTCAACGCTCTCTGGTTTCATTAAAAAAGAGTCGATCATCAGATATTGTCCAAGATTAACCTTCAGGGTGGATATAGCTCGCTCACACCAAGGACCTATCCACTTCATCATTTACCCAGAATGCTTTGTGTGTAAATAAAATGGCTCAGTCTGTGTTAAAATATATATTTAAAAATTTACAAAACTAAACATCCTACAGTATTTTTACAGTCTTTACAGTTTCAAAATCTCAACTCTGTCAAAGACAGTTTGAATTTCAGAGTCTCTGGTTTGACGTTTGTGGTTTTCCACCCTGATCCGTCTCTCATTGCACAGTTTGAGATGGAGCTGACATGTTCAGTGAATGTGATTTTATTTATTTATTTATCTTTCCTCCTTCCAGTTGCGCTAATGGAGGAGGTTACTACCACTACTCGTACGCCGTGGTCAGAGGCTGCGACCGAATCGTACCAGTGGATATTTATGTTCCAGGTAGGGTTTGCTTTTTTTTTCCTGGTGATTAAAGCTATTTTACAAAAATCCCTCCCATCATCCTGAACATAAATAGGTTTTGGTTTTCTTTATTAGAAAGAATGTGCGGTTTTCATTTTCTTCCCTTTTGCTCGTCTTTTCAGGTTGTCCTCCCACTGCAGAAGCTCTTCTTTATGGGGTTTTGCAGCTGAAAAAGAAAATCAAGCGTGAGAAGAGGATTAAAATCTGGTACAGGAAGTGAACGAGTATTTACCGGTATCTGTATACCTGGTTTGTAAATGTTGTATTTTGGGTTGCATTTGGAGCATTGCTCCTCCTCATTTAGATCTGCAGGAACTTCAGTAAAGTATCTACTGTAATTTATACACTTCTGGATATTTTTAACACAAGGCATCAGCAGACGCTCAGATTCAGTTTTCATTTTATTATCCTGTTAACTTAACCTATTTCTTGTCATGTTTTAAAGCTGTTAAATACCTCTGTAGATCGTGTGATTTCTCATTTATGACACCAAATATGAGTGATAAACAATATCTTGAGTGTTATTTTCAATAAACTTCAGTTCTTGAACATCCCTGGTTGTTGCTCCTGTTTATTTTGCACCTCCTCTGTTTCACCACCTCTGACCTTCACTGGTCTCTGTGGTTGGAAGCAGAAATGTCCAGTTAAAGACAGAAATTCTAACTTTGTCTCTACAAACATGCTTCCTGTCGACAAGCAGCAGTAATTATGTGTGCAAAGAGTCTTGTGTGCACCAGAGCTACAGGTTCAGTCATGTTTGTTGAGTTCATGAGTCAGACGTTTAATCTTTGCTGTTTAAATTTACCCAGGGTGCACTGTTGAAAACAGGTTGAAGTGAAACATGTAAGCAGTTAACACGTTTTGTGTAATATTTAAAAGACAGTATCTCCATACTGAGTTACTGAATTGGTCAAATACTTGAGTTATTACATTTTAAAGCTGTTGAAGATGCTAAAGTACACATTTCTGTGGCAGGCTGCCTCTGACTTCAGTCTCTGGTTGAACAAGACCATGTGATGTGTTATATGGGGTTCCACAGGGTTTTGTTTTAGAGCCAGCTATTTTTTTCTACTAAATATCCCCCCTTTTAGACAAAATAATGAAGCTTTCAGTAAATCTTTGATTAAATGCTGATACGTTTTCTGCTGGTAAAGTCCCAGTGGATGCCAGCTTTCTTTTCTCTGCCTCTTTTCTAATTCTCCAAATGATAACTTTGGAACTGAGATCCAGACCAGCTGCTGTGGTTTCCCACCTGAGCTGGGTGGCGTTGCATCAGACATCCGTCTAATGATTAATACGTCCTCGCCAGCTGGTAACCTATTCCCACGTGTTCAGATAGCGCCCGCCGTTATCTGCAACCACACGTTAAAGACCAACGTACAGAACTCGGTGTTCCTCTCGACCAATAAGTACTGAGGCTCAGGAGATGTTTCAACACTGCAGAATAAAAAAAGACTGAACTTTCTGTCCAAAACAAAAATAATACAGATAATATAAGCTTGAATTTTTAAACTTACGTAATTTCAGTCCAGTTTTTAAACATTTTGAAGGCTTCTCTTTTGGTTTAGTTTTACTGACAAAATTACAAGTTATTTGACAAAACAATGTAAAATTTGAAGAAAAAATAAATTAACAGCAAATTCCTTTTAATTCTTACAAAATTGCATAACTGACAAGACACTTCATGACAGAACAGCAGAATATGAAGCAATGATGTAACTTTAAAAAATACAAATTGCATTACTTTAATTAGTTCAACTA